CAAGAAGTCAGCACTGATAACGCTCCTTGATAATACTTCCTCTGGAATGTACAACATTCCATGTTTCTGCTCCTTAGTCACTACCGGACATGCATGAGTCAGACTGAGAGGTGGAGAAATTGCCAGGCTGCTCATGGGACCATTGAAGGTATAGTCAGGCCCATAGATGTGATCTTGCCATGCTTCTTTCTCTTTCAACTCATCTTACACTAGGAGTGATAGGTGATTTCTTTGCCTTTGGATAAAGAATGTAGTGAATCACCCTGTAGACCATGAATTAGTGGGAACAACTAGTCTGAATGTGATGGACCAAAATATGCTGCCCACAATTCTCCCAGTGGCTTAGAAAATTAGGTCAATGGAAAAATTCAGTTTTCTGGGTTTTGTTTTCTTTGTGTCTAAGCTTGACCAGGTAAAAATGGCTGTACATACCATGTTTTAAGGATCTTTGTCCTACTTAGTAAGCCTACTGAGGTCCTACTTAGTAAGCCCCTGGCCCAGGGAACTGTCTCCTGGTGGTCTGGAAGAAATCTTGAATTTCTCGGGTAAACTCGATCAAATCCACATGAAGATGACAGTCAGTTCTAACTGTAAATGAGCAGACTAGCCATCTTGGCCCACCTTCAATAACACATAATAAGTAGAGATTCAGACATACTAGAATCCTATTCCATGCACCCAGAAAGAAACATGCTGGCCAGACTGACCAAGAGTGATTGCTGAAAAGTTTCATAAATCCTAACTTGCATGTTGCATTTAGAGACAATTCCACTTATATCTTGAGGAAATCCATCTGCTCATTGGGCTTCTGGACCATTTTACTAAATCACAGGTCACAAACTGACAGAGACATATGTATGTTCAGTTCGATATACACAAAGTTTTTTCTTTTCTTTCTTTGTTTTGATGCTTTCAGGTGCTACAGACTGTCTAGTTTGCCCCAGGTCCACCACTCCCTATTATGTTACATCCAAAATCATTTGGGTGAGAACCACAGAGTGTAGTGTCCTATTGTACAACATAAGGAAAAAGCCAAACATTGGCCTCACTGATTTAGCCCCATTCACATTAATTAATGAATTGTATTTCTTTTTCTGGATGAAGACCATACCTTGTTTTTATATATGCAGTTGTTCACATATATAAATTGTGAACGTCTCAGTGTACTCTTGATGTTTGCTATATCCTTTGAAAGGAGTGAAGAAGGGGTGCCTGGGTGGCTCAGTCAGTTAAGCGTCTGCTTTCGGCTCTGGTCATGATCCAAGGGTCCTGGGATGGAGCCCCGCATCGGGCTCCCTGCTCAGCACACAGTCTGCTTCTCCCTCTCCCTTTGTGCCTCCCCCTGCTCATGCTCTTTCTCTCAAATAAATAAAATCTTTTAAAAAAAGAAGAAAGGAGTGAAGAAATGAATCAATTAGTTGCAAGCATATTTTAATTACCTGCTAGATGCCAAATGACTTGCAAGAAGCAAAGAGGGAAGGGTGCACATTTATTACATATTTAATAAGTACTAGGAACTTGTGCTAAGCACTGCACAGACATAATCTGTTTTGCTTTGTTTTTAAAAATAATCTTCACGGGCACCTGGGTGTTTCAGTCAGTTAAATGTCTGACTCTTGAATTCAGCTCAGGTCTTGATCTCAGGGTCGTGAGTTCAAGCCCCACTTTGGGCTCCGTGCTGGGCATGGAGCCTACTTTAAAAAATAAAATAAAATATTCTTCATAGTTACTCTATGAGAAATAGGTATGACACTGTCATCCCATTTTATAGCTGAGGAAATTGAGGCTTGGAGAGCTTGCTCAAGGTCACACAGTGTTTAGCAGAGCAAGGTTTCAGACCTAGCTCTTTCTGATTGCGGATAGAAACTTGACCCTTATTTGTCTGGTCATGCTGCCATAAAATACTAATAGCTTATTAAGGGCGTATTTCTGTGTCTTATTATATATATTATCTTCATTTAACTTTCACAATAAATATATGAAAGACTATTATTATCCCAGTTTTATAGTGAGAAAACCAAGAAGTCAAAAAAAAAAAAAAGCTTAAATTTACATAACTAATAAAGGCTAGAGCTGTGACTCAAACCCAGGTCTTACTCCAGAGTTAATTGCCTAATGTGCCCCCTTCCACACAATGGAAGCTACTATTAATATGTTTTAAAAGCAGCCAAAAAAGAAAGTCTGCATAAGATGTATTTATATAGCAATTCATAATAGAAGAAAGCTACTTGGATATGGATTTTTTTTTCTCATAAGCCTCTCCATAGTATTTCTGGGCATATCCATTTTATAAAGAGGGCTAAGTTGAATATGTTTTTAATTTTCTTAGAACAGCTACTCTTTAGGAATGTCTTTCACTTCTTAAATGTCCACATATTCAAGTAGATCTAAGGTTTCTCCATCAGGGCTCTAAAGAATAATAACCACTGCAGGTGATACCCTCTATGGGCCTATCCCTTTAGGGAACAGTTTAAGAAGTGCAAGACAGATGTCCAGCCAAGTCCTGTAGCTACACCAAAATGTAGCATGTCGTGATAGGATTACATATGAAAGAAGAGTGAATGATACCACAAGAGAATAAATTATAAGTACCAAATGAGTGCAAAAAAGTAGATGTTATAGTAGTTTATAGGAGAGCAAGATCTGCTGCAGCTCTGGGGGTCAAGAAAGAGGGCAAAGTGAGATGATTAATAAAGAAGGTTTTGAGTTGTCCAGATATGGTATTAAATCTACCCATATGACTTTGAGCAAGTAAGTTATTTGATCTCTCTCAGAGATCTGTAAAATGGGAATTTTGAGATTAGATAATAATTTTTAAATGTTTCCCATGGTGCCCTGTTTCTTCTTATTGTATAATTGTTTGCCAGTCTCCTCCATTAGGCTGTAACCTCCTCAAAAACTGGATCTGTGTCCCGCTCATCTTTGTGTCTCTCAGCCTTTGGTACAGTGCTTAAGCTCATCCCCATGCCTGATGTTTCTTTCTGTGCAAAGGGTATACCATTATCAGATTACTCCTGCCCTCTCCGGGCTTTTGACATAGTCTACATGAGGAGGAGTGAATGGATTACTTGACTGGTGAGTCAGGAAGAGCCTACTCTATGCCACTCTCCATGTTCTCTTTGGAATGAGTTTTCTACAGGAGCATGCAGTCTCTTGCACTCTTCCATACTGGGAATCTTACTGCCCAATGCTGCCACCACTGAGTGGGCAAGCCTACCTACTTCTGAGGTCTAGTAATATAAAGCACATTTCCATACAGATATTGAAGAGTACAGGGAGACCTGGTTGGAAAGATAGATTCAAACCAGATTATAGAAAAGATCTTGTTATAACTTTATGGCATGGCATTTCAGCAAATTCCTTAAAATGTATGGTTATTGATAAAGAATGGAAAGAGTCTACATAACTAAGCCCAAAATATATTTGGGCTTTTGTTTGTCTGTCTGTTTTTGGTGTTTGGATATTTTTGTAGTGAGGGATGGGTGGTTGATTTTGGGGGTTTTGTTTTGATTGTGTTGAGGAGATAAGGATAAGGTGTCAATCTTTTAAAATTTTGTACAGAGTTCACCTTTGGGTTTTTTTAAAAGTTATTATATATGAAGGCATTAATAAACCCATCATTTGATGAATAGACCTGTTAAATTAGGTGGGATTTTTTTTAATTTTTATTTATTTGACAGAACTAGAGAGAGACAGCGAGAGAGGGAACACAAGCAGGGAGAGTGGGTGAGGGAGAAGCAGGCTTCCCGCTGAGCAGGGAGCCTGATGCGGGGCTCGATCCCAGGACCCTGGGATCATGACCCAAGCTGAAGGCAGACGCTTAATGACTGAGTCACCCAGGCGCCCCCGTTTGTTTTTTTTTTAAACGAAGTGTGGTCTGGGACCATCTGCCTCAGAAATACCTGGAGAGCTTTAGAATAGAAATTTCTATGCCTCACTTCAGATCTGCCTGATCAGAATCCCTGGGGGTGAGGCCTAGGAATATGAGTTTAACATTCTCCTCAAGTGATTTTTATGCTTATTATATTAAGGGCATCACCTGCCAACAGACAGGCTAATTCAATTTAAGTGTATCTACAAGAGGAAATTGTGTGTGTGTGTGTGTGTGTGTGTGTGTGTGTGTGTGGTTATTGCTAAATCAGATTATTGACCAGAATGATTACCACTATAGTCCCTTTTTCCTGTAGACCAGGACAGCCCTGCTTACTCAGCCAAGGACGTCATCAAAACCCCAGCTGGGGGCACCTGGGTGGCTCAGTTGGTTAAGCGACTGCCTTCGGCTCAGGTCATGAACCTGGAGTCCCGGGATCAAGTCCCACATCGGGCTCCCCATTCAGCAGGGAGTCTGCTTCTCCCTCTGACCCTCTTCCCTCTCGTGCTCTCTGTCTCTCATTCTCTCTCTCTCAAATAAATAAATAAAATCTTTAAAAAAAAAAAAAACCCAGCTGGGCCTTTTGTATATGTCCATTTCACGTCTCACTGATAGGTCTTATGAACAAAAACTAGAAAAATTATGGACAGTTTTAAAACCTTTTTAAATTTACAGACAGGGCGCCTGGGTGGCTGTTAAGCTTCTGCCTTCAGCTCAGGTCACGATCCCAGGGTCCTGGGATCAAGCCCCACATCGGGCTCCCTGCTCCACAGGAAGCCTGCTTCTCCCTCTCCCACTCCCCCTGCTTGTGTTCCCTCTCTCGCTGTGTCTCTCTCTGTCAAAAAATAAATAAAATCTTTAAAAAATAAAAAATAAAAATAAATTTACAGACAAACACACACTTTCAAAAAAAAACAAAAACAAAACAAGAACACTTGCAGTTCTTCCAAAGAATCCTAGCTTCATGGAGTTTTCCTCTTGGGAGTCTAAATGACTAGAGGAAATAGGCAGGAACTTCATAGGAACATTCTTAGGCATCCGTTGCAAGCTTATAACCACACGCTGCCTTCCTTCTGTTTGAAAGTGTGGGGAAATGCTCTGCATAAGCCTGCTTTGTTTCTCTTTATAGATCATGCAACAGATGAGTGACCACCGCTATGACAAACTTACTGTGCCTGATGACGTGGCCGCCAACTGTATATACCTAAATATCCCCAGCAAAGGCCACGTCTTGCTACACCGCACCCCAGAAGAATATCCAGAAAGTGCAAAGGTAAAAAAACATCCTTCCTGGCCACTACAGCTGAGTAGTCCTCTCTGTGACAGTCTTCCTGCCTGGGGATTTTTTTCATGATGGAGTGACAAATAACAGGGACTTCCTTTTCCTCTATACAGGTCAAATCATTATGAAAGCAGAGAGGATACTATAATTTTAGGGCACAAGGAAAATTAATTTAACTCACTCTTCTCATTCATGTCACTGATCACAAATGCATGCACAGTAATTGAGGTGATCATGCCTGGTATTCAAAACTTTTCAAATAAGTACTTAGATCTCCCAAGCCTATGCTGCAGTTCTGATTACACGTATCTCCCCACACTTAGATGCGCACTAGGCATAGAGACCTACAATTAGATGGTCAACTGTGTCATTGTTTTCTGACAAATCTGAGCTCCCCTTCATGAGAAGGGCATTTGTTTTTTAACGACAGAGAAGTGTGAATGACCCAAAGAGGTGGGTGCTTATTGTCAGGGCTGCAAAAAGGGGGCTTTTGGCTGTGCATCCCAGTTAGCAAAGGATCAGAAAGAGCAAAAAGATGATATACTTACCATCAGGCACCTGTCCCTCTAAGAGCTTCTGCATTTGTGCCCCAACACAGGAATTGTCCCCAGATATGGAACTCTTTCCTGGTCTAAGAAGACGTTCCTTGTCCTTCCGGGCATCTGCCAGTCTCTTCTGCACATGCAGACATAGCAGCGCTCATCCATAGACCCTCCAAGGGTCCATATCTGTTTTAGACATTTCAGCATCTTCATCTCTGCCCAGAGGAATCATTTGCTTACACTCACCATTACAGAAGAGACTTTAATAGCCACTGGTTTTTTTTTGTTTATGTATCTTAAAAATTTTTAGCTTTAAAAATTTTAGAAAATATTTTGGCCACCTTTCAGATATGTGATATTATGTAATCACTATGCTTATCTTCTGAATCAGTCATCTTCTTAGCAGATAAAAAGAAAGGGGTGGGGAGATACATAGATGATTTCTCTGTTTCCATGGCTGAAAGTGTGAACCTGAGGAAAATAGAGGACCCCTGACCCCAGAATGGGGCTTAACCAGCTCTCAGATGAATAGAGGGTCTCATACATTATTGTGCATTAGGATTGTTAAAAATGCAGGTTCCTAGACCCCACCCTAGAATCTGTAATTTCAACAAGCACCCGGCTCACAGAACTCACTTGGAGAAACACAGCTCTGGACCGTTCATCCTTCTCCAGTCACATTGATCATCTGATGACCAGATGATGATTAGCTGCTTTGGATTCAGCCCTGTGTCTATCCACAGTAACGATGATAACATCCACGTTCACTGAGACTTCCCCTGCGCCAGGCACTGGGCCAAGCCCAGTGTGCATTATCTTGGTTATACCCCACAGCAGCCCTGTGGGGGCGCTCTTCTTAACTCTAATTTTACCGAATAGTAATCCAAGGCTAAGAGGGCATCTGGCACTTGGCTGAAGTCACATTTTAGGGGGTGAGTTGACAGAACTAGGTTTGGAGCCCAACTCTGGCTCCAGCACTCTTAATTAGCCACTGTAGTGAATTTTAAGGAACAAAGTGCTTCCTAAAGAAGCATGGTAGATTGTTTTTTTAGACAGTGTCTTTCAAGTGATTTTGTATTTTTAAAAAAATGTGCTTTATTTGATCATCAGAGAAACATCTGTGGCCTGTTAATTTGAAGTTTGGACACATGCTTTCTGTTAGTGTCAAAAGATGCTATAAAATTCACACCTGTAATTTAAAAGCGGTTTGACCTGAAATGCTTCACTTAAAGTCTATTTTGTCAAGTTCTTCCAGTGGTGTTGGAAGGAAAGAGACCTTACAGTACAGTTGAGGGGGTTTTAAAGTGTGGCAAGGAAGGATTTTCAGACTGAAAACACCACCACTAGCTCTTCCGTATCACTCAACGTTCCTGTGACAACGGCAGAGTGAAGTCATCTCTTGTGACAACCACATTTTTGACACATCTCTGGCTTTGAGGTTAAAGCATAGAGCTCGTGGTTAACCAGTGCCGCCCGCTCCGTTGGTATGGCTGGGGGCACGTGTGGTCTAGACTGCATGCACGTCTTGGGGTTCAACAGCTGAGAAGCCTAAACTCAAAAGCCAAATGCATTCTCGCACTAGGGGAGGAGGTGGGGGGCGGGGCGTAGGGGTAAGACAGAGGCGGAAACATAATCCTTCTGCTTTACCTTTCCTTGATTCCTTCGGCAGGTTTATGAAAAGCTGAAAGACCACATGCTGATTCCCGTGAGCCATTCTGAACTGGAAAAGGTGGACGGGCTGCTCACATGCAGCTCGATTTTAATTAACAAGAAGGTAGACTCCTGAGTCGAAGTCCCCCCCACCCCCCACCCCGTAGCCGGCAATACCGCACTCACAAGGCCAATGACTGTCCCACTCCTGTTGTGTTCATTGACAATCTACTTTGCCACTGTGCTATTAACCCTGGTTTACAAAAAGTCTCCTAAGTTTGCTTCGCTCTGCACCCTCCCCTTCCTCCCCTTGCCGTGGTACCTAAACTGTGGGTTTTGCTAAATGAATTAAACAATCTAGAAAATATAGAGCTAATGAATTATTGAACTGTGATTAATAATAGTAAAGAAACACTCATTTCAGTGTATTATCAGTGTGAATATATATATGCTGTTTAGTTGCCAATATATGCTAAAGAATGTCTTCTTGATCAGTCAGATAGGCCAGGGTTGTTTTGTTTTGTTTTGTTTTTCTCTCTGTATTGTTAATCATCTTTGGTTCCTGTGAAATTCCCTGGTCCCTGGCTTCTCTCCTTTTCCTTCCTTTTTTTCATCTGAACTCTGGAAATTTCGTTGCCAGTTACTTTCTTTTGCCTTTCTCACTTCTGTTACCTTGGGTAAAATCCACAGTCTTGCCTTCTGGATACCTTCCTGCAGGTCCCTCCTGTCTGCCACATTAGCCTCCTCTGGCCCATGGCTGCATCTTCAGCCACCACCCTCACTCTCGCCAGGAAGGGCAAAGGGGTCCCTCAACAGAACTGTGACCAAAATCAGAACGGCTATTTGGGGAAGAGTTAACCAGGCAGAGGCATATCCTGATGGGGTTTGTCCCAGAGATCTAAATTCCAGAAGAAGTAGGGTACCACACCTAGGAAGGTAAATTCAACTCCAGAGGGTTACTAGAGATCATAGATCAAGAAGCCTGGAAACACCCCAATGGGTACATCTCAGAAAGTCTTTAAGTCACATTCCATGAATTTTTGCTTTATTACTGACCATTTATAGACCTTGGGGAATAGTCTTATTTTTTCCTTCAGCTCATTTCTCTTCCCACCCCCACTCATCGTGACTCATCCTACTTCCAGCCTTCTACCCCCTGCAATTATCCTGGTCTAGCAAATCACTTCTTTCAAAAGAGACATTGCATCTACAAATGATTATTGATGGTCTAGCAAGAGCCAGATGAAGCATATTCAGGAAGTGATCAGCTTAGTGCTTGAAACCACAGACAATGGACAATTCCACTTTGAAATATCTATGAATATATACTGTGGAATTCAATTAAAACTTCTTTCCTCTCTAGCTTTTAAATTACACAACCTGACACTGATGCTGGTCTCTTACAAAGAACAATGCCACAGTGAAGGGAGAGATCATTGTCTTTTATTTAAACCTGAAAGAATCAGCCTTTTAGCAGGCCAGGGAAATGGTACTTTCCAAGGAATGGTGACTGATCCAGGCATGTTATCAAACTTCCTAGTCATCTCCACATTTCCTGTATTGCCTGTAGCTTGTTGTTCAAGATTAACAATCAGGGAGATTAAGAAATATGACTTCGAGGCTTGCTCTGCTTACCTATGTGTTTCTTTTTTTTTTTTTGAAGGTTTATTTATTTGAGAGAGGGTGCATGGGTTGGGTGGGGGAGGGGTAGAGAGAATCTCAAGCAGACTCCCCGCTGAGTGTGGAGTCTGACCTGGGGCTTGATGTCACGACCCTGAGATCATGACCTGAGCCGAAATTAAGAGTCAGACGCTTAACTGACTGAGCCATCCAGGCGCCCCTTACCTATGTATTTCTAACCAAACATTTCTTATGTTTGGTGACCAAGATAGAATTCCCTCCATTCATATCTCCCCTTAGCAGATGGAAGTGATAAACCTCTGAGAAGACATCCTTAACCACCACCTATCTTTTTCATTTATTTGATGATTTTATGCCAGAATTTGAAGAAATTCCTGCTCCTCCTATTTGCTTAACTTTAAATTCATTTCCATGCAGATATCTTAGTTACAGCATCCTATGAATGAACCATATCTTGGTCACTGTCTTATTTCGAAGTGTCTCATCATGGGTAAAGAGTGTGTTTTTACCAGAAAGAAAATGATTTGTTACCCACATGGTCTAGTCAATAAGGAAAAATTGTCCTCTACGATTATGGTTGCCCTTTTGGGTTAAATCTGGCCCTGTGCTGGCAAAAGCAGAACTTCTCCCTGGGAGAGTCCAGCATCTCAAAAACAACCTCGGGAAAGTTAACCCAGTCAGCCACCTTAGGATTACTATTAAAGCTAAGTGGCATATAATTTTCAATATATTTACTTCTACCATCCCAAATTGAAGAACTGTATTATATTTAGTCAATTGCAAGTGAATCGATTTTTCTTTTGAACAATTTGTCCTATAGAAGGCTCTTTTTCACTTTTTCTTTCCTTTGCTTCTTTCCCTTTTTGCTCCTCTGTCTCAAGAAATCACTTAGAATCTACATGCCTCTTCCACAGAATTGTTTTGTCTGCTATGTCACTGACTAAGACTGTCTTCTTTGTACTCCCTATGTGATATGATGGTGTGAAAAGCCAAAATATCTGCAGCATAGAGTAGTATTTTTTGATGTTCTCATCAGCATAACGTTATCTTTGCAGAGGAAAGATGACCTGTTACATAGGTTCCCCTCGAATCCATTATGATTTATAAGGATAAAAAAACTAACACAAGCTGCTCTTTGACATTGTAAAGACATTAGGAATTGTATTAAAGTAAGGAAAAGTTGAGTCCGAATTACTTGGTTAGTAAGATTCAATCTAACAGGGGCAATATAGAGAAAGTACATTATTTAGCATTATCTCTTCAACTATAATGGATTGCTATAGAAATCAGCGGCAGATCTATAATGTGTATTGATTGCTCTTTAAGCTACTCTGAACAGATTACTAAGGCTATCTCTTCATCTCTAAAGGGGAAATAGTCTGTAGATGAATAATGTGACTTATATAGAGTTGCATGTTAGTCTTCATAATTATTTACTCTCTAACATTCTACAGAACTCAGACTTGGTCTCAACATGGTGTTAGACTTGTGCATTTTGTTTTACTGACCATCACATTCCAGCCAATGTATGGTTATCCACTCTGTGTGCCAAAACCAGTCTTGCCTTTCACGGCCCTCTAATCCAGAGAAGTTCTGCACTGATTTTAGTCTCTTGCTGTCCTGATGCTACAAGTATACCAATCACGATGGAATAAAGTGTGAATTGTACTGTGACCAACAGCACGTGTCTCTTTTTTTGCAACAGAAACTGCTGTAGGAAATGCAGTCACCATTGCTTTGCTGTCAGAGATGGGAAGTTTTCTCTGTTGTCCCATACTTAGAAATACTGTGCCTGTAAACCAATTGCCATCAAAAGCTTGGATTAAAATGATACCTGAAGTGATGCTTCATACTGCAAGCACTTAAAAAGCATGCATGACACCCATGCGAGGTCAAGAGGTCTTGATTTCACCTGTGCTCCTCCTTGGAGGCTTCTTTTTTTCCTTTTGTTCCTAACTGTGGTCAGCACATTATATGGCTCAGTCGTGGAAGCCGTGGAACAGGTTTTCCCTCATTTATGCAAGAGTTTCGTTGTGGTTTTTGTTTGTTTGTTTTACAGTAAGCATCTGTTAGGACATTTGAAGATTTTTTTAATGAGTCATTTTTTATTTCCAACCATTTTTTTTCTAGCTGAAAGCAGCTTTATTGTTTTCCTTTTCTGATTGTAAAAATAATTGTTCACTGTAAAACTAAAATTCAAATAATACAGAAGAAACTATAAAAACAAAAGTAAAGAAAAAAATTACCCAAAATTTCATCACAAAGAGATGCCATTGTTAACATTTTGAAAACTATCCACCCATCTATGAATAGATAGAGATATAAATGTGGAATAATTTTACATCATCATGCTGTTCTATAGCTTGCTTCCTTTACTTAGCAATAGATTGCAGGCATCTCTCCATGTCAATAAATAGAGATCTACATCATCAATTTTAACAGCCCTGAATATTCCATGATACGGTTGTCGAAGCAGCTCTTTCTAATTTATATGGAGTGTTATATCACAGATGTTCAGTATGCCCATGTTGCTAGTAGCCTGGGGTCTTCAAGCTGTCAAAAATGTGCTGATTATGAGGCTTCACACACACCCAGAGTTAGTTCAATCTGGTATCTTCTTATGGAAACTGAATGGTACATGCAAATGCTCACTAGAAGCACAGACTAGTATTAAAATTCCTTAAAGAGGTCGTTGATGTGGTCATACCTTCTCAGTTGATGTTACATTGATTAGTTCTCCCTTATTCAAGCCAGCATTGAAAGAGGCACAGAAGAAGAAAAAAAAAAGCCAACTACCACCCCTGCACACCTGCCCTGGGCCCCCGTAGGCAATGGAACCCTCCACCTAAGTGCCAGAGTATTTACTCCTCACAGAAGAGAATGGAGACACTTTTTAAAGGAAGAGTTGGCAGGGTTTCCCTGACTGATCTTTCTCCCAGCCTTCCAGAAGGATGGCGGAAGGTAAGAAGGAGAAAAATCCCCTCTCGTGACAAACCGCAAATTCTGGAAATGGGACTTTTACTGAATGAATAATGCTGGTCAACAATAGTTTTAGACAGGTGAGCACATGTTTAACAGGCTCTAGGGTACTGCTCCTGTCTTTCCAGAGCTGGCAGTCTGGGAGGGGCTTGGAAGGAAGACTACACAAGATTACAAATGGTTACAACACAAGAGAAGGTAAGGTAAGAACTAAAAAGAAAAGCACTGTGGTGGTTCCCAAGAAGGGGAGACCTGATGGAGGAACCGGGGCTTGATCTGGCCTTGGAAGAACAGCCCTGACTTCAGTAGGCCAAGAGAGGTCAGGCCTTTGAGGCGGAGGAAACAGCGTGAGCACAGGCATGAAGGTGGTAGAGCATAGCGAACACTTCAGAAGTGTCCGTCATGAATCAGTTAACACTACTAGACTCTAGGGGTACAATGGTGACAGGACCTGCTTTCCTGGAATTTACATCCACAGAGGAAGATAGACATTAAACAAGCTATGGCATGTGCAGTGAACATTTGGAAGGAGAATGGGGTGCTCAGAGCAGATGACAGGGGCAAGCAAGTGGGTTTGTTTGGCTGACACATGGGGAGATATAAGAGCACAGCGAGACCACGTAGGTTGGGATGTCAACAGTCTGGCCTGCTAAGATAGGATATTAGGACTGAATTCGGCAGTCTGTGAGGATCTCCTGAAGACTTTGGGGCCAGGGAGTGATATTACTGGAGCTTAATATGGCAGCA